AAAACACCCCCTGAACAGAGTTTTTTTTTTTTTTTTTTTGTTGCTGTTGTACACCTCCACCCACTCGTCCATCCAGACCTTCGAATTAACACAGCAGGCACACAGGAGCAAAGGCATACTTCATTTCATGCAGTTCACAGTGAAGGACAAAAAGATAAAAAATAAAAAAAAAGGCAAAAAAAAAGGTCAAGAGGAATGGAGAGAGAGGGAGAGAGCTGAGGAAAAGCAGACCTTAAATACAGGGCCAGTGAATGTCTTTTCAGAAAGGACGTCAGGGTGTTTTCACTTTGGAGGAGTGTCAGCCTAGAGGCTGAAGGGAGTAGATAATAGACTATCCAGTGTGTGTGTGTTTTTTTAACATGTGGGAGGTACATATGTCTCTGTGTGAGAAGGCGTTATGAAATTTACCTTTGTCTGAAGTCAGTGACCCCTCTGAGCTGCTTGAAGAGCCTGAAAGATCTGCAGAGAAACAGAGGGCTATAAAACTTGATTTGTTCTAATCAAAAGGAAGCCGTTAGAAAATATGTCAAGCATACTTCAACAAATGAAAAATGGGAATGATATCACTTCCAAGAACAAAACATAAACCGGGCTGCTCTCTCATACTGTTCCCATCTGAAAAGACAACTGCTTAACTTAATGGGAGCGTTTGAGAGGAGTCTAACCTCTGTGCTCTTTATGTTTGTCTTTGTGTTTCCTGGAGTGTGAAGACAATCTCTTCCTCCTTTTCTTCTTCTGTGATGGCTCCTGGTTTTCCTCTGATAACCTTTTACTCTTTGTCTTTGCTTTCACTTCTTTTCTCCTACAATCAGAATAACACACAGAGCAAACTGTATGCACAATATAAAGCAGCCAGCGATGTCACTACTTGAAATAGAATGAAAAGGCCTTTATGGCCAAAGCCATAGCTTTCAAAGGGTATAGATTTTCCATAGGCTACATCTTGATATGAGGTCTTTTTGCATACAGAAAAGATTAAACACATTTAATCCTTGTCTTTGCTGTGCTAAAACTTAGAAAAGTCATCTCAGTTCGTATTCTTGCATAGTTATGTTCAGATTTCACTTTAAAAATCATTGTGGCTTGAATTCTAAACCGCAGCATGCTACAAAATAATTCATGCCGGCTGTCCATAATCCACAGTCCTCAGTCTTTAACATCACTAACTGAAGGTAAAACCACCTACAATTTTAATGTAAAAATGCCTCAAGTGTAAAAGGTAACTCAGCTTACTTGTGATGGTAGTTGAGTTTGAAAGAGCATTCAGGGCACAGTCCTAAAACAGAACCAACATGGCATCATCATTACCAGCCCATCCATGACTGTCAAAACGATTTCATTATCACTGCCATTATTATTGTTACAGCCATTATGTAGCATTATTTCTTGCCTTCCTAAAACTGCTTTATTGTAATGTTGATGAAAAGGAACACACAGGTTAGGCTACAGTCAGGATATGTCAATATATTTCAAACTCTAAATTAACAGCATGAAATATGATGAAATGAGCATTTCTTGTTTATTTACAGTTAATGACCTTTGCAAAATGTACCCATTGGACATTTTTTATAAACACAGTTAATTTTACACTTAGTGGTTCACGCCTATGCCAATTGTGTGTGTTTTGGGGTTTAACAAATGTGATGAACGCATTTCTTTCCTGATAAAACCTTTACAATGTCTGCAAAAGCAGGATTAGGTTCAAGATGAACATGATAATTCAGTTAATTTGGGACTTGTGTTAATTTCCGTAAGTATATATATATACACATAGCTATAAAGACATAAATATAAATTTCCTTCAGTAACCTGTTACTTCAGAATGTATGTAGGCTATAAACTAAAGAGGGGGACCAAGGAAAGAACTGTGTGGAACTCCTTTTTTTACTCTCACAGAAGGATAATTTCTACTGGCTATAATAACACACACATTGCTCATGAATGCAAAAGTAAGATTTAAATCTTTGGTCAAAAAGTTTGAACGGATATGTATTTTAAGAAACTATTTAATTGCTATCAACTAAATCATTTCAATATTATTTCTCTTCTGCACCTTACCAGGTTCAGACTGCCAGATCATGCTTCATTACAGCTGAAATTGAAGCCATTCAAAACTTTGGATTAAGAAATACTACAAGTTTTTATAATTAATGAGGAGAAACAACATGTGGGGATGTGACTTGTTGCACTAGCTTTTTAGAGAATTTCCCACTTGACTGAGTTCTCTATGACTGGTAGGTCTAATTACAGTAATTATTCTGACAGGATTTTCTGCAGTACGATACTTGAACAAGGATTATTATAAGATGGGTCTTAGAAGGGAACCCCCCCAAGGCCACACACACTTGTACAGAAACACACACAACCTTTGTCAAGAATGACCAGTGAATATGTAAAGATAATTTGTATTAGCTTACTGAGTTTAACTAATGCATTCCGTTTCTCGCCGTGTTCCACATACGCAAAATTCACCTCCCAGCTTTTTAGGCCTTCCTGCGTCTCGCAACGTTTGTTTCCACACTGGAACTGACCTGTAATACAGGTAAGACAAGGACATGTCCTGTCAATGTACTGTACAAATATATATTACAATGATGTTTCCATTAAAGTATTATCTATCTACTGTAGCTATCTCTTATCCACAGCAAATTCTGATGTACGGTACAAATGCAATACATTTCTTACTTGTTGATAATTCATTCGTAAGAACGAAAACAAGCCACAGAGCACTGAGAGTTAATGTAAGATTATTTTGTGTAAAATATTATGTACATAAAAAAATGACTTAAAACAGAGAATTGTAGAATAAAATTGTGTATAAACAGGAAGAACGTTTTATTTCAGGATTGAGAAATTCAGACAATAAATATTCAAATGCTTCAGATTTGTCAGACAACCTCTAAACTATTCTCTCTATCTCTATACCCCTTCCTCCTTATCCCACTGCTCCTTCCCATCTCCCCTTTTTCACCTTGCCTCATCCCCACAGGTCTCTCTCCAGCCACTGGACAGCCTGTCTATGATCCCTAGAGGAGCTTAAGGTGACACTGATCTGCTCTTTGGGGTTCCTCCAGATTGTACCGGAGGGGACGAGTGCGTCAGAGCGGTCCATTTTTGGCACAGGGGTGAGAAACACTCTTTACTCTGGGAGTGGACAGTAATGCCTGTCCTCACCTGCCTAACACCAAGACTGTAAACATTCAGATGAGATGATGTTGGCCACCATGTTTGTGTGATGAGATTGAAGAGGGCCTGTTATTATATTCAATTAAGTAAAAGAAATCCAGAAAAAACAAGTTCATAGTTAAAATGAAGTAGAGATGATCGATATGCCAGTGCAACACTAAAGCAGAAATTGAGTAATATTTTTTTATTTATTTTCTGAACACCACATGATTAAGGACTCTAATTTGACTTTTAGTTTTTAATACACAATCAGTGACTGTGGAAATCATAAACCACAAAACTATTTCTCTGCCACCCCATGAGCCTTTAATTCTATGACTGCTTATATGAATTATTCTACAGTGAGCAACTTAAAACAATTCAGCTTAATTGCATCACAAATTCATGTCAGTACATTTTTTTAGATTTGCAAGGTGTTAATTTTAACTATAGTGAAGACATTTGCATTTGAACAATTTAGGATGAACATGTTTGCAATGAAGTGTAATCCATCATATGAACAGGACTACAGCTCAGCTTGCAGCTCTTACTGACGCTTTGAACTAACTGCTAATATCAGCATATTAAAATGCTCACATTGTTTAGCAGATGTAATGTTTACAGCTTATTTTAGCAAGTGAATATTTGGAATTAGGAGCAGATACAGATTACAGGTGAGCTGATGAAAATGTTAATTTTACGGGTACTGTATGTGGTCATAAACCAAAGTAATGGATGGAATCTGTTAATGAAGCTACTTAGATAAAACATTTCCTGGGATTAGCAGCATCATTATAATAATGGCCTACATTATAGGCCATGAATGTTAGTGCAATATATCCAATAGTTTCTGAGATATTTCAAATCAAGATCAAAAAGGTGGATTGATCGACCAATCAGAAATTCATACTTAAGAGCTTCACCGCTAGTGTGACAAATTATTATATTTATTAATAAATCAAACAATTCCTTATCAGTAACATTTGATAGCATAAACTGATAACTTCAAAAGAAGTGATTTTTAATAATAAACACTTTATGATACAGCAATATGTATATGTTCATCTACCTACATTTAATAAGTTTTAAAACATACCGTTCTCAGTGAAGTAAAACTAAAAATGTCAGCATATCACTTTAAATCCTTGATCCTATCTGACGTTGACTGATGGGTGTGACTTGAAACAGGGCCACCTTCTCGACTGTGTGCCAAACTGACACCATGAGCAGTGGCTAGTGCCCAGATACCTGAGAGAATCCTGCTCACCCTCAGTGACGTCAATTACAATCACAGTGGAATCCTCCCATGACGTCTTACTCTCTCCATCAATCAATCAAATACACCTAATGTATTTAAACTAACTTTTATCTGAAGAATGGAGGTAAAAGCCTGTGCTCTGCCTACACAAAACTGAGCACCCTTGAACAAGGTACTGAATCCCTTCACTACCACAAAGAAGTCTTTGAAGGCCACATCATGGAGAATGTAAATGTGTCTGACCATCAGCTATTCACAACCTCAACCCTGGGAGAGTCAATGGAAAAGCTGTTTCTAGGCAACATCGCTGACAAAATAAATGTCAAAATTTAAATATAATCAAGGTCAGGAAAAAAATAATCTGTTTATTTCTAACAGTTTTCAGCCCTCCAGCTCCAACTTCACTCAATGGCGCTGTCCTCAGAAGGCACAGAGAATCCCTGCTTTACAAAATAAGCACCACCCAAAAGCCCCTCCCTGGGTCTCTGTTCAAAGTCATAGAACACAAGCATTTCAGGCAGGTTTTGTTGACAAGCACTGGGTATCCTCACACATCAGGTGAGCCTCACGTGCTCCATGAGAAGAGCTATCGCCAGGTTAGCTGAGTAAACCCATTATGAGAGGAAACTCCTGTCTTCCTGCGTCAATGGTTGCTAATGCTGGCTAGAGATCAAGACGGATACACCACAGGACAGATGGCTGCATGATTAACATTCACTGGATGAAGTCACAGGGAAGTGAACTGGGCCAAAGCTCTTTCACTTTTTATTCGCTCTTGGGTAGCTGGTAGAGGTTCACAAAGGACACATTACTGTGAAACCTTTTTTATAATTCCAATTAAACTTCAGTTCTGAGTAACCTGCTACTATTAGACCAAACATGTCAGCTTGATTGTAAGCACTCATTTATTGGTAGAAGACTTTATATAGTTTTGTTACATGAGAACAGTTGACTTAAAAATGATACTATTTTAAGGAATAGTTTGGAAATATACTTATCTGCCTTCTTACTGAGTGGGACAGGAAGATCAATGTCATTTTTACATGTGTTTTCTTTATTCGTTTTGTTTTTTCAAGATATGTTAATGGGAGGTAAAAGTGCTGCTAGGTTGATTATTTTACCTTGTTACAGAGCCAGAGTATCTGTTTCTCCCCCATTTCCAGTGTTTATGCTAAGCTAAGATAACCAGCTGCTAACTGCACCTTTATATTTCAGGTACAAACATGAGAATAGCATCATTCTTCTCATCTGACGTTTGATGAGTACAAGTTTGCCAAAATTCCTTTCATCAGAAGAATAGCTGTCAGTGCAGGACCATACAATATTCTTATCACATAGCTGCCCAGCAGTATATTCTGCTCAAGGGTATATGATGACAAGATAATGTGAATATATGCGCTTGGTGGCTCAAACAAATACATTTGCCCCCACCCATAATGCTCATTTTCTAAGTGCTGACAGATTGAAACGTCTGTCAGAATGTCACATTATGTTAAGAAATTCTATGGGAAACAATGAACAATCAACACTCACTGAGTCCAGGCAAATGTTTTTTTTCCACCAAATACTGAAATTATAACAGGCAGCTGAAAGACCGCTTCTCCAACCATGCAGTCCCACCTCTGACTCTGGATCAGATGTGTCTTTCACATTGGCAAGCAGACCTGACTGCTGATTCCAAGTTCAACACTTATTCTATTTTGCAACTTTTATTGACTGCACAGCATCCTGTTAACTAAGTAGGCCAAAGAACATTACACACCATACACAGTATGTGTCCAATGTCCCTGCCTTCATTCTGTCTTGAACTATTTATAAATCTCATATAACGCTGCTTCACACTCACAGATAAACACATTTAAACAATAAAAACAGAGACATTGGCAGTCGCTATTATTAGACCATGCAACTCTGTGAGCTGTGCACTAATGAGCTATCATTTCTAACACTTAAAAATGCACTCAGTCACTTTTCTGGAGCTGATGTATTTTGTCTAGCAAAACAGGATATATTTATCAAGTACAAACCCTGCTTATGTTGGAACACAGTCTAAAGCAATCATTTAAAGGTAGTGAACGATCTCACATTTAAATTGCCCTGTCACTTTCATTTTACTTGTAAAAAAAAATTAAGTGAAACTGCCAGGGTGGAATAGGAAGTGACAAGATTCTCAATCATGCGTTAGTGGACTAAACAGTCTATATAAACCTGACAAATAAGGATGAAGAAGAGGTAATATCAGACAGAGAGAGAGGAAAACTCGAGCAAGAGCAAGCTTAAATGAATAGGCTGTGTGTCCAAGACTGAAACCCAAAAAACTAACAATAACACTGAAAATATAATACAGTCTAGGGCTCCGACTAACAGCTATTTTAATAATCGATTAATCTGTCGATTATTTCTCTGAATAATCAGATGTAGAAGAAACGTGCAGAAATCTTCTGCATTATGAAAACAAAAATGCGTTAATTTAAACAGTTTTATTTTGCAATGTTTCTATGCAGTGCATTATTAAAAAAATAAAATGTATTATTTGCTCTTAGGCTATGTACTCTGCACTTTCCCCATTAACTTGCATATGTTAACAGTTAAAAATCACATCAATGTTTCTGAGTACACCTTTATACCTAGTTTTGCTTACTGTGTTTAATATAGTGCTTGGCTGTTTACTTGTGTTTCATGCTTAATGTTGCATGAATGCAACAAAAATTCAAATCCATCTACCATAGGACCATTTTCACATGACATCAGACAACTTCTGTTGCTCCTCTTATAGGGATATCCTCACTTGCGCTGCTCAGGGTAATCTCTAAGTTCACAAGTTGCCACAGACATGAATGGATTATGTTTAATGGTTTGTAAATATTCTTTTCACTGTGCTATGGTCAGGCCTCTTCTATAAGCGTTTATGCTTCAGGTGTTTGTGACATGAGACAAAATTATCTCCGTCTCCCTCTTCACTTCACCACCACAGGGCTGCTAAAGCGAGCTACAAGGCAGGCATTAGCACAAACGCCAGAGGTTTCACAGCTTCAGTTTGGAGTCGCAGATCTGCAAAGGTAACACCTGATAATTTTTTTATTGGATGTTAGCCATTTGATTTTTAAGGTTGCTAAGGTGTGATTTTTCTAAACTTTCTAATTTATACTAACTTTGCTTACAAGGCCTTTGATACTTTTTTTTTTTTGACAGGAGCTCCAAAACCAAGACTAAAGCTCAGTTTATACCAGAAAGGACAACCTACAAAAATATGGCCTGGAATGATGTGCATGCATGCCTCCACATGTACACCTGCTCTAGCATAAAGACTGTCAGGACACATTTTTATATTCGACATGCTGACTCAATGAAGGATTTCTCTTATTGCAAACACATGCCTCACATAGACATTTTATTGTGGAGAGTTTTTACAAATGGGTCCGCAATGAGGGTAAGAAAGAAGAATTAGCTAGCAAGTAATTAATGAGGCAGAAAATATATTTAACATTTTAGTTAGTAAGGCTGCCCCCTGTCAAACTGTATTGATTTTTAAATGCACATGCATGCGCATGTTCCTGTCACTCTTTTGCAATTAAATAGAGATGTTAATGTGGTCGAAATCATCACAGAAATTCATGCCAGTTGATTTTCTGACAGTCTGGGCTGTATAATGAAAGAAAGGAAAAACAGCAAATAGACAAATGTTGCACTAAAGAGCCGACTGACAAAATCCTTCATCGGGTCCAGCCCTGTTAGTTAGACCTTAAGAAACACAAGCATCTTTAAGAAGGTCTATAGAAGTTCTTTATAGCTCAAAGACTTTCTGGCATTCGACTGGAAAAATTCGTGTGAATCATTTATGTGAAGGTTTTTGGCCCTGACGAAAGGGAGGAGGATGAGCATGAAGTCAAAGTAAATCTCTTTCTTCAAGAATTCCTTAAAATGTGGAGAAACTTAGGACTTTGGAGGGAGGATAATGTGTGATCCTGTTCTCATGTATTTGATTTAGGAAGATAATCTTTCTCTTCTCTTCCTCCTTGATTTTTAAAAGACAAAATATTGCAACATCTAAAAGAAGAGAAAAGAGAACCTTTTGACAGTCCATACTCCTGCATCTCATATCACGCTGTGGCAATGAAAAAGAAGGTCAGTGCTCTTTGTAATCCACCTGATTAGGTGAAGAGTAGTCACCAACAGCTAATACCAGCATGACCTGAAGTGCACAGACAGGAGGAGATAATTAAAAGAATGATTTCCAAAAAAAGTGTCCATGGCAGGGAAGTGCTGCGCCCCTTAAAAGCAGATTCAGGATCCGTTTAACTGGGAAAAATTCAGTTTTGCATAATACATTTGTAAGTAGAGGTTGAATTTGGCTCTGACAAGCACCACACCTAAACCTTGAGTCATAACACCTAATACCAGTTGATCTAATAAAACAATAAATCTAACTTTCCTGGTCATGATTCATCTACAGTTTGTGGAGATTTTGCATTCAGGTCCCTGTGTTTGAATGATACCCTTTATCAACCTTCAAATCAAATTCTAGTCAAATTGAGTCCACGCTAGAAGACTTCTTCCACCTCCAATGCAAACACGTTTAACTTTCAATTTGCACAAGTGTTTTCTCCACCTCTGAATTAGGATGTTGGTTCCACCCCACAGAATAAGATTAGTAATGATTTCACTGGAGAGAGGTTTGTGCCCTGTGCTCTAAATAGTGCCTAAAAGTATCTCACTTGGATTCATCATGTACACAAATCACATCTGTGACAGTTGAAGTCAAGTCCCGCCAACCGTATCTAACTCCCGTATCCCACTTCCTGTACAGTACTGCTACAGGAGATGAACTGTCAAAGACTAGGATTACACTGTCTTAATCTGGAACAATATATTGACTTAGTCAGCTTTCTCAGACATACTGTGTATGTCTGAGAGGAGGTATTGATGTAAACATAAACAAATCAGTCAAATATAAAGTGTGTGTGTCTTGTGGCTCAAGGCATGTCAGTGAGGCATCAAAGCTTTACTTTCCCTGAGTTACTGATTGTCCTTTCCATAAATACCTGTCACTGTGACATGAAGGAGCAGTAGATAGAGAGGTGGTGTTGTTCTAATCCTAAACACTTAATAAACAGCAATTAACAAAGTGCTGCCAAACTGTCAAGCTAGACTCCATCATAAGTGTAGCAGGATGGTAAAATGACACAAATGGGACCATTCATGTGAATCAAGACATCAATTGATCATTAAATGGAAAAACTGTCCCCCAAGGTTGGGAGCCACAAGTAAACAGCCCAACAAAACAAAAAAACGCAAGTGACAGGCCAGACATCTGAAAGATTCTTGTAAAATAAAACATGTATATGATGAGAGTTTAAAAAGTATCCTCAGTACGTTATATACTGCTGTCCATTGTCTTTATATCTGTCGCCATCTAGTGGAAAAGGCTATAAACTGTTTTGTAGGCATGCTGGTAGTGGAAACCATGAATGTGACCCAAATCCATACAACTATTGATTACTTTTTTTTTTCTCCAAATATTCTTCTGGACCTATTTAACACAATACATGTACATTTCTTCCAGCTGTGTGCAGCTCCTTCACTTCTTCTGTGCATTGCATTGTAGGAAAATAGTATCCAACAACAGCCATCATTCTCAAATATGTTCTGAATTGTGTATGCATTCTGTTTGATATGAGTAGACTTCATTTGGTCACATTTACACCACAGAATCAAAATTGGTTCACAATTAGTTTGTGGCAAGGATTTGGGACACAGTGCTTGTCTAAGTATATATGGTTCTATTCTCTTATTAACACCATTATAGAATGTACATATTATGCTGCATACTGTTTTTATAGTGCAGAATATGCAAAAACATAAAGCAAACTTAGGATAATGTTGAGTTATGCTGTACCTTTCCCAGAGACAACTTCATTCTCAGTCCTCCAACGAAATCCAAACTGTAGAGCACAAATTTAAATAGATCCATGTAAATTATAGCATTAAATTAGTTTTCTCTTAAATAAACTACAGCATTTAGATATTGTGTATTTCTATTTCAGTCATGCTTTCCAATTTATGGACACTATTTATATATACCTGTTGAGGAGTATGTACTGTATACAGTACCTTTGGTAGTTGAAATGATTAACCAGTGAACAAGCCCTCATAGATGGGGCAGTCATTGTTTAAGCTAGTCATTAGAGTGTTAGGCAGTGCCTGCATAGAACACAGTTTCTCTCTGTGGATTCATCTATGTGCAGGCCAAAATTTGACTAAATATATGGGAATGATAAAACTCACCACTAGATTTGTAATCATCAGGCAAATCAGAATCATTTGTGAGAACATCTGGATTTAAGTTTGATTTTGAGTCATCTGGCCTTATGTTGTCTTGTTTAAATTTTGACTCTTCTAATTTAAATATAGTGCCTCTCATAAATCAATCTAGATATCATGTAGGTACAACATCACAGTCTGAGACTTGAGTTTGAAGGATATTTCAGTAGAGTAACATCAGGCTAAACAATGCAGAATAAACACACTACCCTTGGGTTTAACGTACTGTCACTTTTAAAGCCTTGGATTCAGACCAGAATGGCCACTAGAGACACAGCACAGTGCCAAATCATGACATATTCCCAACTTTTGTCTAAAATGGAGCAGTGGTGGTGGAGATTAGTGTCTGATTTATGAAATTTTAACCTTTGTTCATGGAACCACCACCGGGACTATTAGTGTCATTTTGGAGTGCAGTACAAAAATAGATCATCCCACCAAGTACTGGCTTCCCAGTGCCTGGGATGACTGAGGTGTATGCAGTTCTTGTACTGTTTTCTTTCTGTGCATTCTCTAGGTGCACTTACTTGTGTTTCATTTTAGATTTTTATTAGCAGCTATAAAGACCCAATTTGTGCCAGGGAGATTTGATAAATCTGAATTTCCCAAACAAACACAAGAACATAAATGTTTTCTACTGTATGTTGTGTCAAGATACTTTTTCTCTGGACTAAACAGTGTCCAGCTTAATTAAGAACAGCCTACCAAATAAATACATAACATACAGTACAGTACATATAGCATCATCTGGATTCTGCCATACTCTTATTGGTGTGTCTAACTAATGCTGCAACACTGGCACAACTCATAACAACACAACACTGATAGACAAAAACTCTAATGCTTCTTATTTCGCTGATGTACGCTGGTCAAAGCTAGCATTACTAGGCAACCTGAGCCCGCTATGTGCTATCACATTATTTGACCTCGAATAAACACCTTCTGTTACTGTGTTTCCCTTTGAACTAGATAATCAAATCAGTCAATCAAATCATCCCTTATCTTACCTTGTTTTCCTTGTATCTGCTAAGGTCAGCTATGCAGTACTCTTTAAAAAGCTTGTCATAATACTTCTTGGCAAGTTCTTTTTCCCTGCAACAAAATACAATAAGGCCAGAGAAAGGTCACCAAGCACAAGCTACTTTTGGAGCTCCAACATACAAATAGAAATTCCCTTTTCAGAAGAGTCCCGAACAATATTTTTAGCATAAGGTACATTAAAGCAGCCTGTATAAATAGTTGACAGTAGATGATCACCATGTCATGTCTTCTTCGTCCTCATCCCTCCAGAGGAAGCGATGATTCTCACGTAGCACATCCACATCTGTTTTGTCTTTTGCTCTGAGGGAAACAAGAGGTTCAAGGAGAATTTTATAAGGAGACACACATGGATAAGGAGAATGATACAATAAATTTACCGCTAGTATAAATTGCTACTATATATATAAATAAATTAAAACAATGAATAACCAATGGTCCGACATGAGTAACATACTCTTATTCATTTTATTCATGACAGCAGATGAGTGATTGTCAGGCCTGGCTGTGAGACTCATTACTTACGTAGAGCGTCTGAAGTCGGCCAATTGTCCTCCATAATAAAGTATGTAGTCACCGACAAATTTCTTATGTCGCTCAAACTGGACACATCTGCTTAAGGTCAGTGTCTCTTTGAAAGTTAATTTTGCACTGAGAACTGTAAAAAAGAGTTGTAACGTTCCGCATTGCTTAGTTTTAATGCTTTTATATGAAGGCAATGAAGTCAAAATGAAATGACCATACTGTTTTGGACAGCTATGTGTGTGTATAAGTCACAATACATATAGTTTAGCAATCTGTCTTGTTATTCCACAGTGAAACAAAACGCAGAGAGATGTAAACTTAAAAAGGATACAGCATTCATTGATATCAGATGGGCTCTTCTGTTCCGGGCTTCCTCTCTGAAAATAGGAAACAGAATCTAAACAGTTACTAAAAAGACAAAAAGTTATATTATATTTGCAGCATACGTTGTTCATTTTTATAACTGAAGATGTGGCCTCCATCAATGTTTCAAACACAAAATTCTTAACCATTTGCTAGTTCAGAAGTATGATCCATTAATTGACAGTAGTAGTAAGGATAAGATTTAAACATGAAAACTGGATTTTTCATATTTAACTTTTATACAGCATGCACACAGAGTTCCTCATGAAATGTCAATTTGACTGAATGATTCCATTTTAATATAGACAGTTGGTATATAATTTCAGAACTGACAATCACAATGTGAAATGCCACATGTGAAATAAAAGGAGTACAGCTCATTTTGAGAAGAACAGTGATGGATATGAGATGTAACCTCTGCCATAATTAAACATAAAACATGATGAAAGACAAAATGGCTTACATACTTAAAAGGGACTGATGTATACTACCTGTCCACTTCATTAGCATGTAAACTCCGGTGAGCCACCTGAGAGTGCTGATCTTTTTGGAATGGCTTATGCAAGAATTCCTCTTCACGTTTTCTGTCAACAATATACAAATAAACACAAAGAACTGTAAGACCTATACGACTTCCTACACAGTAAAAGACATTTTAGCACAAAAACATAACCATTTTAGTTTATATGAGGAATTTTTGAATAGACTGTAATTCTATAGGCCATAATTTTGCCTTTTAAGGTCTTTCTGTGAGGACTCTTCCTGCCCATCATCATCACTGAAGTCAGAGTTATAGCCGCCACCTCCGTGCACCTGGGGAAATACAGGAATTCTTTAGTGTGGGTGAAATCACATCCCACCAAACACAACCCCACTAGCTTAAGGTATGATGGATGTTAACATACATAGTTTCAGTCATTAGTGAATTAAGACAGACAATACAGTAAAAAGGACACTATAGCACTTTCTAACTAAATTGGTTTAAAAAAATACAATTTATTGCCCAACAAAACACCCTATAGAAATATTACCCAATAGTTAAAAATGTTATTTTGTGTTTTGTTCTTAATGCTTTACATGGTCCTGCTTCTGTAAAGTGAGCTGAAACCGGTTTGATCACAAGAGGCAATATGCATACATTTATTTTAGCATAGGTCATTACAATTAACCTACAGTTGAAGTGATGTACAATGTTGCTTTTTGCTTACGACAACGCTACCAGCTATAGTTAACTTACCTTTAGGCTAAGGTTTCATGCTATTTGGCTACTAACAATTACACGAATGACTAAATATTCTTCCGAATATGATTGCATAAAAAGTTACAGTTTCGACTTTGAAGATATACATTACCTTCACAAGATTATCCATGAGTTTCTTCCCTTTCGTCTCCAGCAGATACTATTAAATGTTTATTTAACGAAAAGTACGTCGCTAGATGATGACGTCACACAACAAATCCCGGTATGATGACGTTTAATGCTAACAATTTGCTCAGAAAAGATGAAAATAAGTGACTGTAGCCTTTAACATGAATATTAAAATAGGGCTCGTCAGGGCTGCTTTGTGATGTCAAAATGGGGATAATTAACGATTTAGGTGGGGTTTTTTTTAGATTTAAAGGAATATAGTCTATCAAATTAAGTGCATCTCCAGCACTATTAACGGTAACATGTAGCCTGTAGTAGCTAATAATTGTACTTTCATCATGTTTATCATTCATGACTTTAAGCTTATGATAATTCCTTGTACCCAGCCTATAATGTGGCCTAATTCATCCATTAGCATTTATTCAACATTTATTGTAGGGCAAGCTGTTATCACAAAACACCCAACCCAGAAAAAACTGAGTACAACATGAGACATTGATTTTTATTTTAGAACGAATGACTAATTTACACCGATGAGTAATACGCAATTCAGGGATCATATCTTTAATTTCCGCTCAGGAAAGATATGAGGATCCATGTAGGCGTTTGAAATGTAGATGGGAAAATAAAGAGGGTATTATGCTATTTGAATGTTTGAGGTGGCCAGGGTGAAAGTCTGGGAACAGACGTGCAGTGTTTCATGACTTTTCCGCAACCCACTGAACTCAACAAAGCAGTCAGTGTGGGATGGAAAAAGGAGAGGAAGTTACAAAAATGGTGTAAAAATCTGAATGACTCTTATGATTTGTGGCCTGGGAAAATAGAGCTATTTATTAAATTAAGTGCCGTGTAATTGTATTGTATAAATTATTCGAATACCTAGGCCTACATACATCATTATCATAATTTATTTGGGTATTCATTTTTACGGCGCTTTCCTAATGATAGCCTGATATGGAGGTCCTACTTCACCAGCCATGTCTTATGTCACAGTTCGGCATAAGCTCGCATGAGTAATATGCCAAAGCAGGCAAGATCGAGCCAGCTTTTGAATGAGTGAGGCAGGTGCATTTGCACGGAGCCTCATGAATAGTCGCTTCCCATTAGCCTTGCACGCTCTGAAGCGCGCATAAATAATAGCTGATAAAAAAGCGCACCTTGGGGCCTGTACCCCCTCTCTCCTCCGTCCCTTTCTTTCTTCCCTTCTCTTTCATTCTCAAGGGGATTGACGCTTTTTTTCTTTTCGCGGCACTGACAACTTATTTGTATGCAGCAGACTAATTATAAATAGGTCCGTTTTTTTATCAGCGTGTTTTATATAGGAGATAAAGATCTCTCATTTACACGACAAAAAATCTGACTATTTTGCTCTCATATCCTGTCTGTCCTGCATTTGTAATCCTGCGCCCTGCAGAACGAATCCGCTGGACTGGTGCCTTCCCATTGAGACGCAAGAGGCATAGACACAAGCCTGCACCGGAGCGCAACAATACGGGTTTCTATTATTAAAACAAACAAGGTAGAAAAGTATTTAAAAAAGAAACACAAAACGTAACAAGATTGCCTCTTAGCTCCTAGATTACATCTCGTGGATTTTGCCTAGAAGTTGCATGTGGAGGAGTGATAGGATTCGGCCGGGACAGAAGGAATGGGATACCCGGGCAGAGCAGTGAGAGGATGGACAGGATGGACAGGATGGACGCTCCTGGTCTGGGTCGCCGCTGTCAGCTTGGTTTTAGCAGACGGACGGAGAGTGAGGCAGCCTAGATGCCCCGCTGGATGTACCTGCACCAAAGATAATGCACTTTGTGAAAATGTCCGATCTGTGCCTCACACTTTCCCTTCCGACGTCGTTTCACTGTAAGTGGTCCTGTAGCTGAACAGACCCTCGATTTCAATGTGCCATTCAATTTATAGATGATAAATTGTAAGGAAAGCTTATGGAAGTATAGTGTCTCTGCCTTTCAGTATGTACCCAGGTCGCATCTTTACTTTCTGATAAAAGCTCCTTTTATGTTCACCATCTGTCCAGATCTTTTGTCAAGTCTGGATTTAATGAAATCACCGGAGGAAGCTTTGTTCACACGCCTGCCCTGCAACTGCTGTGAGTATCTGTCTGTTTAGCTATCTGCAAATCCGTGTTTAGTGCTTTATTTCATTAAACAATGAGGCAGTCTCCACAGAGGACTGGTATAGATATGCAGATTTAACGGGGGATTCTCTGTTGTCAGGATTATGCAATAGGCCACATGGCTACAGCAACTAACAGCAGGGGTTGGGGGATTCAGGAGCTGCGTGTGTACATGTAGGCTATATACAGTATATGTGTGCTGGGTAGGGATGTAGAGGCAGAGATAATAATGAACATGTTCTTAGGATAAAAATAATTCTGTTTATAGAAACAGTAACATCATAACTCAGTCACGCACCAAGTCTTTTGTTTACCTTTTGTATTATTTAATGTTTCCTGAGTCAGTTTGTTATTAATCCCAAAAATTAAATGTAATGAACACAATAATGCATCAGTAACAATATTGTTAAATGTGCTTTCCTTAAGTAGCATTTTGAATGCACAACTTTTACTTGTAACAGAGTATTTTTACACTATTGTACTATTTTACTTACTGTAAGTAAGGGATCTGAGTACTTCTTCCACCACTGACTGAACTGACCAAAGTAAATGTCTATCAGTTGATCTGGAGTATGTTAACCTCCAATAATGCACGACTTAATAAATGGGCCTTCTCTGTGGCCAACATTAGCAGATTGTGATGGTTGGTACAGTGTGCAGTAATGAAATGAGTTTCATTCAAAAGCTTTGATTTCTAGCATTTTGAAATGATACATCTCGATGTCTCATTTTGTTAATGAGATGTTAGATGTTTTGAAATATTGATGTGATTTTTGTTTAAAAGTTAATTTTATAATCGATTCACCCTATGGTAGCCAAATGGTTTCCAAACTGAATCCAAATGAAAAATCCTCATAATCCGGTTTTATGTGCAGATAAAGCAAGGTGCACAATAGTGCTGTTGGACATTATTTTTACACTACTGCTTTTGAAGGTGACTCAGAAACATGTGGAAGGCAGCAACCATTTCTCCCTTTCATTTATTTCAGGCAAAACATGTAGGAGTGAGCTGCCATTTCCCAGCTTCCTTCAGTTCATTCATTCCTTAAGATGCAGAATGAGTGTGTTGTCTGTTATAGTAATTCTCCATCCTCTTTTGGACTTAAACAACCTCCCCAAATCTTACAATTTCCTCTCAGCTAATTGTTTTTAAGATTAACTTAGGTCACTTTTGTATAAATGATATAGTTTTTGAAACACAAACAGTGACCAAATATTATATATTGAACAGCTATTATTTTCCTGTTTTTATTTGTTATTCACAGGTTGTTCACAGCAAACTCATTTGACCTCATTGATGAAGATGCGTTCCTAGGTTTACCACATCTTGAATATCTGTAAGTGTTTATCTTTAAAGCTCGCAATATTACACTGCCGTAATAGGAACTGGTACAGGAACAGAGCAGTGCATTGTAGTACAACAGTGTCCATCAACACTCAAAAATCAAGTAACTTTGGCATGTGTGCCTCTATACACACATATTTCACCCACACAGGATTTCTCATTGCCTTGTTTAGGATTTTTATCAGTCGATGAAGTGTTGTGAAGTATGTGCTTCTCAACCTAACTCTGCTCAGCATCAACAACAGCAGAAGTTTAATTAGAGTAACTGAAAATACCTGACCATTTATTCCAGTGTGAATGCAGCATGATACTTGATTATACAGTGTAACATGCAGAGCTAAGGTTTTCTGCACAAATCCTCCTTAACAATCTTTGATATGAAACTCTCATTGCCACAAATGGAAAAGATATGCACAAGGTTCCAGATTTTAGCTTTTACTGTAGTGTCACAATATTTTTCATATTTGTATGATATTACTTCCCTAATGTTAATCTATCAAAATGCTAATGATATTCTCCGCATTTACAGATTTATTGAAAATAACAAGATCGCATCGATATCCCCATATGCCTTCAGGGGCCTTAAAGCACTGATCCATCTGTAAGTATCTTTTCTGTGGTGGCCCTGTTGGAAAACTTTAATTAAATCTTTATTTTGCCTCTACTTATTTTGTTACTTCCATCTATGCATGTCCTGTATATCCTACAGTACTTCCTTCATTTATTCCTGTCCAAAGGAACTTCCTTCATGGTATTTCTTCTTCTTCCCTTTTTTCACAGTCACAGTCCATTTTCTCATTGTATCACTTTGTTACTGTTTGAAGTGCAACTCAGGCAGAAGTGTTGCTACCGGTAGTGTTGTCCAATTTTACTGGCTGAAGGTGTCGCCTGGATCAGTTTGCTGAAGGGCATATCATAGTGTCTGGGTGTTAAATTACCTTAGTGGACCAGCGGTCGACCACATTTAATGTCTCTGACTTTAACTTAGTTATTGGTAGTTTTTTTCCAATTTTTTTCACAAATGTGGCCCGTACTAACAGAAATTACAGAAAACATCCAATCAGTAGTTTGCTGTGTTTTTGTAAACATCATCTCACCTTCCTGTTCTGCAAAGCTTGCCAAAGCTAAAGACAGTTGAGAATATGAGTGACCTGCAGGTCAAGACTAAATATAACTGTACTATAACCTTAAGCCAAATGACATGTTTGAATCTAACTTTTTTTGAGTATATGCAGAGCAGTACAGCCAAATACTTGCATATTTGTGTTCTTCATCATGTATGAATTGATGTGTACAGAACAGTAGCTGACTTTTCGACTCTCCCACATCACGTTTTCACATTTAGAAAATACTGTACTCAGACATGGCTTAGGTGGCAGAGCTCTGATGATGAAGACAAAGAATCCCTTTAAAACTGCAAATATATGTTAGTTACAATATCACTGGTTCAGAGCATAACAGTGTGTATGAGACAAGGGAGTTAGGTAGGAAAGGTTACCCAGAATGTATCGTTTACAGGGGTGATGACCTGATTAATTGTTTTCCAGGGTAATCATAGTAGAACTGTAACTTTGCTGTTAATTTGAGGAACAGCTACAGCGGGAGTCTTGTTAATAGACCAGACCATAATAACTGATGGGTCAGTTATTATATTACTACATTATGATGATATGATGGGATAAAGTGCAGCTTTACACTAAATTTAAAAAAAGATTTAAACAAAAATGATGCATTATAAGTGGGCACTTTGGATGCATTATACATAGTACAAATATTAACATTAAAGGGCACAGGCATGAGTCCTGCTGGAATCCTATCCATCTGTTTGGAGAATGCATTCTTGCACAAACTCGCAGTAAAATGGCCTCTCTCCCTGGAAAATGAACTCTCAAATGAATAATGCAACATTCATGAATTACGCTGACATTTCATTTGATCTCTTTTTCTTTTTTGGAGTTCAGTCTCTCACTCACAAATGAAATGTCTCTTTAGGGCCTGTTTTTGTCAGTTTGTCTTAACTGGTTGTCAAAGATTCAATATCATCCCCTTGAAAGCACTGACCTTTGTTCAAGTTGGTTAAAACCATTGTTCTGTGACTAGTATTAACAGAATAATATATTACCCTGTGCATCTTGTTGTACTGTGGTTTGGTGTATAAAGAATAGCATGTCACTCTTTTTCAACAAGTGGTATTCCCTCCCTCTAATCAGCACAATAGCCCTCTCTTAATTAATTAAGTGTTAATCATTTTATTCCTATTTCACTGCTCAGCCTTTCAAACAGTGTTAAATAACTGTTCTGCATCACAGGACCACAGGATTATTGTCAGGGGATTCAGGCTTTGACTTGTTTGTCCTTTCGGTGTGGTTGCTTTTAATTTTGTTGCTACATGAATTTATTTATTCTGCTGACTATTTCTAATGCACACTGTATGTGTGTTGTTCTCTCTCTCTCTTTGTTGATTAGGAGTCTGGCTTACAACAACCTTGAGATGCTGCCCAAAGAGGTTTTCAAGGGCATGGATGCTTTGACCAAAGTGTGAGTGCAATCAGAGAAAGGATTTGTGGCACATGTTGAGTGAAATCTTCCATTTTATGTTAAACTGTGGGATTAAATAGAGTAATATTGTGAAGTCATGGTGCTAAAAAGGAAAAGTGAATGTTATTTAAATTGATTAAAGTCCCTTGAGATGTCCTATCTGTTTAAGGGGGTCCTCAAAAAGACAATAAACATAATAACATAAATACATTCAAGTAATAAAAAGTACGTAAGCAGAGCTGAAAGCCTGTCTCCCAAAATCTTTAGATATATGCGTTCTGTCCGTGCATGTAGGGATCTACGGGGCAACAACCTCATATGTGACTGCAAGCTGAAGTGGCTGGTGGAGTGGATGCACCACACTAACGCCACCCTGGATGAGATCTACTGCAGTGGTCCACCCATTCACCAGGGGAAAAGAATAAATGGCCTGCTGCCACACTCTTTTGACTGCATCACTGCAGGTATCATCTTCCTGTGTCTGTCCCCTTGTTACAGAGGAATGACATCAACAATAGCTCTCTGTCCCTGTCTGGCTGCCTCACCCTTTCTCTCTCATGCCTCCTTCTTGACCATATCAACAATTTCAGTGCTGAAAATAAAACTACTGGTGCTGAAATATGTGCTCTTCTTATCTTTGTATGGAAGAATTCATCAATGTGAAAGAATATTTCAAAGATAAAGGGCAGAGGTCACTGTCATGTACTTTTCAGAATTTGCCTCCTATCAGTCACTGAAGTTCGAGTCAATGTCGGTGGATGCCTTCACCTTTGGTATAGATCAATATGTTGTGTTTGCCCAACCATTTGCTGGGACATGCAGTTTCCTGGAATGGGATCATGTTGAGATGACCTTCAGAAGCTATGACACCATTGAAAGTGAGTTCATAAACAGGCATAGAGCAGCACCACTGTTATGGAGGAATCCTGTGTAACGTAATATATTATCAATAGTCTTTCTCCTGGGTTATTGTCCTCTCTATTTGTTTAACATTTAGGCACCTCCACTGTGGTCTGTAAGCCCATGGTGATCAACAACCACCTCTTTGTCATTGTGGCCCAATTGTTTGGGGGCTCACACATTTACAAACGTGATGCCTCTGCTAACAAGTTCATCAAGATCCAGGACATTGACATCTTGAAGATTCGTAAACCCAATGACATTGAGACCTTCATGATCAATGGAGAGTCTTTCTTTGTCATCGCTGACAGCTCTAAGGTTGGCTGTTTTCTCTTAAATAATCAGAGTATGTTGTTTGAAAACCGGTGGTCTTAGCTGTCATCCTACATTTTGTTCTTCCCCTAGGCTGGCTCAACAACAGTGTATAAATGGAATGGCAATGGCTTTTACTCCCACCAGTCACTCCACCCATGGTACCGAGACACAGATGTAGAATATCTGGAGATCTCCAACAAACCCCACCTGATCTTGTCCAGCAGCTCCCAGAGGCCAGTTGTGTATCAGTGGAACAGGAGCCAGAAAGAATTTGACCGTAGGACAGACATACCAGAGATGGAAGATGTCTTCTCTGTCAAACACTTCTGGGTCAAAGGTGGGAGCTGTAACTTGTATTGAAGTGTATGTGCACACACACACACACAAGCACTTTCTAGCTATATACTACTACAGTATCAGCTAGATGGAGCTACCTTGTCCGTGGAGCAGTGCTCAGTTTTTAATGCAAAGGGGATCAGGTGGTCTGGTGTGGGTCACCTGATTTACATTGTACTTTGATCCAGGGTGTGCTTAATTTAATAAACATGTTTATGACATACCTAACTGTAATTTATTACCCTGTAGTTCATTGCTCAGCATGTCTTAGGTATTCATTTTGAAGGTGGTAGAAGTGCCACTGCCATAAAACCTGCCCATAAATCATAAAACCACTGTGTAATATTCAATGCCTTTTTTCTAGTAGTGACTTTGTGAAATAATTGTTGATAACAAGCTATGAAATATTTTGAATTACTTAATCTGTTTTTCTGAGCTTTCCTATTTGAGATTCCGATTTAGCAGCTGAATGTGTAAGCTAAACAGCCCCCTTGAATCTTTGTCCTTTTCAAAAGGTGATCTGTTTATATGCTTGACAAGATTCATCGGGGACTCCAAGGTGATGCGCTGGGATGGTGCCATGTTCAGAGAAGTGCAGACATTTCCTTCCCGTGGCTCTATGGTGTTCCAGCCCGTCTCCATCGGCAACTGGCAATATGCCATCTTGGGCAGCGATTATTCACTGACGCAGGTCCACCAATGGGACACCAAGAGGGGCCAGTTTGTCCCATCTCAGGAGCTGAATATCCAGGCACCTCGAGCATTTTCTCTGGTTTATATCGACAACCGGGTGTTTTTGCTCGCATCCAGCTTCAAGGGCAAAACTCAGATTTATGAACACCTCATGATCGACTTGAGTAATTAAACCTATCATCAATTCAGGACAAATTCTATACCATCCTTCTTTGTTCTGTGATTTTGTTACTTGTCAGTCCTAGTAGAATCCACCATCAATTCCCACCTATAGGTTTAAACAAAACTTTCAAACAGAAGCTCAGACTATCTAAAGATATGTTTCATATTCAGGAGCTTTAGGTTAGGCTGAGATAAAATGTTTGAATTTCTTTCATTACTTATTGAGCTTATTTTGAGAGGTCTGACATAATTTCTATGACAATGAAAATATGTTATGCACATTCCCTTATGCCTAATGTTTGGCAACCTGCTGCAGCGAGTTTGTTTTGGTAAACACTTGAATATCCTCTTGACTCAAAAATGCAAATGACCACCATATAGAGAAAACATACTGTGAAAGCTCTGCTCTTGTTGGTTTTTCATCTCTAAACTTTTTATATCTCTTGCAGGAATCTGATAGGAAAGATTTGCTGATTACATGCTTGTAATAGCAGCTAAATGGTGAAATATGTCTAGAGAAAAGATGGAAAAATGTGTCCAGCATGACATCTGTAGGTGCCCCCAGAAAAATATGAACACAAGAGACTTTTTTAAAGAATTTAAATCTTTAATTAAAGCATTTCAGGAAAATTATGTTCAGAGTAAAATAGATCACTGAGCGCGGGACCTTTTTTAAACTAGTGTCTAATCCACATGTAATGATTAAGCAGTAACACAGTAGTTTGCAATGTTAGGGGTAGTTTGGTACTAAAATACAAGAGCTTGAAGTTAATACTTGCTTCCAACCAAATGAGGGTCAAAATTGGACAACTTGCTGAGAATTATGTAAATTCTTCTAGTGCAGTTTGGCGACTATTCACCCTGTGTTCCATCAGTCTTTTGTAATTATAAAGAAGTGACCCTTTAGTGAATCCACTAAACACTGTCAGAAACTGGGGAAAATCTGTCTCTGTTCTGTCTACTCTGTTTAGCAAGACTGTATATAGACACTCATAATGTTGAATCCTGATGAATGACTTGTTAGAAGCATCCCACTGTGTCACCCAGCTCTCTTTTTCACTGCACTCTTGCCCCATTTCTCCCTCGCTGACAAAACCATTGTTTTCTCTGCAACTAAAAGCCAACTGCTGTGCAGCACCTACTACCTGCGCTTTCACACATGGTTGGTTATTCTGACACAAAAGAGACTGAATATCGATAACAGCTTCACTGACCACAACTTGCCAAATGTATTGTTTACGCTTTTACAGTATTGTGTAAAGTAATATATAATGCTTTTGTATGTAGAAGGGGCCACACTCATTGTTTTATTTTTCCTAAATATAGAATTTAGCATAGATATTTTAAAAATTAGGAATACCTTAACTGCTGTGTAATGTACTTCTGAAAAACAATATAGGCTTACTTGTGTCAATCTAATCTAGTTAGCTAAGGATCAAGGGTATTAGCTACTCCTTTGTCATCTTGCTCATTGTATTTTATGTACAGTAGTAATAAAATAGTAAAATGTTTGATCAGAGATGCAGTCCTTTTATTGCTGTTGTTTATTCACAAGTAAAATAATGTTTTCCCATTTTTCACATATTCTTTGGAGTTGGACTCCAGGATCATTTATTATATCTTTATTTCTTAGAACATATCTAACTGTATGGAGTTTGGATTCAGATTTGTATCTTTAAGAACTGTTCTTCTTGAGCTGATAGTGAAAGTGTGTTGCTAATAGAGTACAGTGCACTAAAATATATTGTGAGTTATGGTTCAAATACAAATGTTTGTTAATGTTTTAGTTGCTTAGCGGTTTGTTTGTGTTCAATTCTGCCCCTTAGTGGACAAAGTAAGCACCTCATGCCAGTTTGTACCTTACAACCAAGGTTAACCATTAACTTTGTCTTCTCAGTCACTCAGGGTACCGAAGAAGGCGGGCAGTGTTGTATCCAAGGCATGCTGCTGTTCAACCGTCACTTTTACCATGGGCAGCTCTAACCGGTGTACAGGCGAGCTTCGGTCTTTATCCGTAGAGGACGACATTACTGTAGTGTTTCACAAAGTTGACAGCCATGGGAGAAACAGCGGCGACGACCACGACAAGTGTGGCGATGATGAACGGACAACAGAGAAGGTTCGCTTGCAAAGTTTCTGTCGTGTGTCGTGCAGTTCCGATGATGATGATGGGGAGAAGGAGAAAGCGAGAGGAAGCAGAAATTTACCGGAAGGCAGTGAGAAGAAAACGCTGTGTCTACCGGCGTTTTGTGTCAGAACCAAGCCCGAACCAGGAGGGGGTGGCGCACCTCAAGGTAGAAGAGCTCACGCACTTAGTTAATTCAACACATTGGGAACGAAGTAATACCTGTCCTGGCCTTGTATCAGTGTCGGCTGCTCTGAACTTTATACGTTATACAAACGTGTGACGTCATGGATCAGTAATAATAGTGTAAATATCACGTGTATGCCGTCATCTTAAGCATAGAGTTAGCATGGAAGGATGTCGCAGTTAAAGTCACCTTGTAGATTTTTATAAAGTTTAAAAGCTTTTTTCTTTTCTGTTTAAATATTGTTCAATTTCATAGTATGATTTCCATAATTTTCACCAAAGCACACTGCCCGGATGACTTGTGCAATGCAAAGTAACTTTTTAATGTAAGGATAAGTAAAGGTTTATTCATTCAGAATAAAATGTTTGCATTGATGTTGGATGGCGATATAAAGATTCATCGTTTTCCACAGCATAATTCCCAGTTACAAGGTTTATACTGAATATATCGACATCTAAAATGAAATAACCTTAGAAAAAATCAACGGGACTAGATTTCTAGATCGAAGACGTTTCACCTCTCATCCAAGAGGCTTCATCAGTTCTGACTGACTGGTGTTGAGCCGGAGATATTTATCCCCATCAGTGGTGTTTCAGTTCTTAGAAGGCCAACAATGTCCCTTAACGACTGAGTCCTTACAGCCCAGTATCGGTGAGAGTCGTTAGCTGTCTTTGAATCCTCCCCTGTCGACCGACGCCTATTGTTCTGGTGGGCATGTTTGGGCAGAGATCTCAAAACAGGATTGTAGATGGAAGACAAGTTGTGTCTTAGTCCACCACCCCTATTTAGTGAGGGGTGTTCTATTTGGACAAAAATAGCTTCCTTAACTCCTCTCTCAAACCAGCGATGTTCTCTGGAGAGGATCTGGACCTCACTGTCCTCAGAAGAATGTCCTTTGTCCTTCAGGTGGACTATGACCTGGATGACTGAGAATTTGCACAGACATCGACAACTAAACTTGTAGCCTAAGATTTGATAAAGGTTTTCTGCTGTAATACAGGTCATCCATATACAGGATGGATGACTGTGCACTTTTACAGTACAGGGGCCAGCATAGGGGTTTTGCATATTGCACTTATAAATTAGACATTGTTTCTAATTTTAGTCCAGACTTCTCATTTTTTATGGTTGTAATGTTGATCAAATATGTTATGCTGCAGTTTCAAAGAGGTGTGAAACTACAGAAGGGTTTTCCCATTGAGGAAATTTTTTTTTGTTTAAGTTTGAAGTGTACAAGGAAGTGAGACGTGTATTCTTAATGTCTCTGTATAGCAGTTTTGTAATTTGTACCTGCTTTAATCTTGTCTAAGTTAACGATTTCAAGCAAGTTGTAATTAAAAAGTAACAGAAGTGGTTGTAATATTATCCTACTAATTCAGTAACAAAACACTGTATTTCTGCCTGTGTCTAGTTGGAATAATAGTGAAACTAAGAATGCAAAAAATCACAATATGCTGGATCTGATCGCACTCTACCAATATGACAACTTAATAGTTAGTGGGAATGAACATCCAGGTTAGAAATGGAATGGTAAGTACTGTAGACAAAGCATTGGACAACTATAAAGAAGGATGCCTGAGTGGTGTCAGGTTGAAATTTAATCTACGTAAGCCTACTAGTTTATTGTTCCACAGGCAGGGCGTGTACACAAGACACCACTGTCTTTTGCAGATCTTTTGCTTGTGGCTTGTGCAACCAATGTTTTATCCAGGCCACATAGCGTTCAATAACATGCTCTTAGCGTCACTACTTCACCTTGCAGTTACTGTATCAACATAAGCTGGGCAAACTAGGCACTTGTAGAACAGTGATACCCCTCTCATCTTGCTCTCCACATGTACCCCTAGGCCCCCTTCACTCCCTATTCTTTGACTTCTCTTTATCTTTATCTTTTTTTTTTTACAGGCACAGAGAAACCAAAGAGTTGTCCAGGTCTTGGTCTGTTCTATGCTTTCCTGTCCACAGTTGTGTTCTCCATCATTCACCTGTTGGTGAAAACCATCCAGGAGATCCACGCCATAGAGATCAGTGCCATACGATGCTTCTTCCAGATGCTTTTTGTGCTGCCATTACTCATCTACCACAAGTAAGCATGATGGAAAAACTCGAACATTTAGATTTCCACAGTTAGCAGTTTACTTTACTCCTAGATTTACACTTTACACTTAGTGAATATGACATAATAAGGGCTCTAGTCACACTCCTAAACAGTCATTATTGAAACCAGCATTGTATTTGTTGTGATGAGAATTGCTTAAACTCAGTGATGCAGCGTACATTCCCACCAGTGACTAAGCTTTGCAGATTCCTGTCTTTGTGTCCATGCCTTGCCACACACTTTGCTGGCAGATATTCTGGTTTAACATACAGTCACTGCTCAAACAAGTATAAGCTGTTAAAGTGCTGTTAAAGACATCCCTCTGCCATGAAAAATAACCCACTTCAGTCCACTTTTGGGAAGTATTAGAATAATGGCTTCCCATATGAAGTTATGTTTTAATATACCCACAAATGTTATTATAAAGTACCAGACTTTGTTTTAAACGAAATCAATGCATAATCGCATGTGTCTCATGTCATTTTCACATAAAAACGCTGATAAAATCTGCAATTAGCTTTCCATCTGTCACAATAACATGACCTCCGCCAAACAAAATCAAGAAACACAGACTATCCAAATAACACAAACACTAAAAGAAAGTAAAATGTATAAAGGGAAAATATAACTTCTAATAATCAATAACAATTTAGTTTACTCTGTGTTTTTATTTCAACAGTTTGTTATGATTAGCTTAGCATTGGAAAATAAAAAATTTGATTCATGCTGTGACTTTGAGAATTGAAATTAATCTGAATTTCCAAAGACCACCAGTACTTCTTTTCATTCACCCAACTATTCATGCTTCCACCCATTCATCGTCTACATTATTCTGTGCTTTTACATTAATGAATCACCAAAATATCTGCTTCACCTCATCTCTTTTCACCCCCATGTATACATCAATCCATTTATCACTGTCATTTCCACATTACCCACATGTAAATCCATCCAACCATCCAATCATTTGTCATCTAGAGCACCTCATAGTGCACTTCACTGCTCATCTTTGCTCCTTCATCACTCTCCAAGATTCAGTTTCTTACTTCTCTGTCAGTCAGTTTAGTCATCCATCCATCCAGTCATCCGTCATCCTCATATCTCTGCTCCTCCAGGACAGGTTTCCTAGGTCCCAGAGATAAACGTATATATCTGGTGCTTCGGGGTTTATTTGGTTCCAGTGGTATGATCCTGCTCTTCTATGCCATTCAGCAGATGCCGCTAGCAGATGCCACTGTCATCATGTTCAGGTGAGAGCTAATAGGGACTTACTTGACTGCGGATTTGTGGAGATTATACTAACCCTCCAAACAGATTCTATCCTCTATGAAGTCTGTGGCTTCTGTTAATCTCCCTCTCATTCTGATTCTTTCCTTTTCCTCATCTCTTTACTGCATTTTCTGGCATTTTCTATATTCCTATTAATTATCTCTCTCTACCGTATTCTTTGTCAATTTACTAAAGATCTGGGAAAACAGATTCAACCGATGCTGTTTATGTCATGTGAGGCAAATCTGTTGAGACAATAATCGACATTTCTCACAGCTTTCTTCTATGTTTCATTTATTTAACTGTATCCCCACATGTATTACTTTTTCATATGCTCTCATGTTTATCACCCTTCTCTCTTTATGAAAACCTTTATTTTATTGTCCGTTGACCTCTCAGTAATCCAGTCTTTACCTCACTCCTGGCCTGGGTGTTCCTGAAGGAGAGATGTACGATCTGGGACTGTGTCTTCACCGTTTTCACCCTCACTGGAGTCATCCTCATTGCCCGACCACAGTTCCTCTTTGGCGACCATCTCCGTGGCATCGAGGGCAACTACACTAACCATATGAAGGGGACTATCGCTGCCTTTGCAGGTGATACATTTAATAGTTACAGCACAAAACAGCGCATAACTGCAAGTGATGGACAGTGGTTAGTTTCATAATCTGTATGCGTTATTTGTGAAGCTGTCCACTAAACATCCAAGTGCTGGGCAAAGAAAGGCCATTATGTTCAACGCCGCTGTTCTTTGCCACTGCTGAAGCCATAGCAGCATGTACCTCCCCGATTTTCTGTCAGGCTCAAGTAACTTCTACGTTGTGACCCTGTAAACTGACCCCTAAATACAATAACTTCCTTAAAATGTGTTAGAATTACATTTTTTGGCATTGATAGAATCAGATGCTATGATGATGCTAGGATTGTTGTAGCGAAGACTAGAAAAATAGGAGGTATTCATAGATCATTTTATAAGGTTAAGGCTGTCAGCGGCATTAGTATAAATAAATGGTCATTAAGGTTACAAGAAAAAACCCACTCATCTCATCTCCTATATTATTAGTCATCTATTTATTTTAATTTTTCTTCTTATTGCTGTTTATTCATAGGAGCGATTGCTTCTTCTTGTACATTTGTTGTCCTTCGCAAGAGAGTCCATCATCGCTGTTTCCGTCCTTGGGGAATGGAAAATCCCGTCCTGCGGCCGTGATCGCTGGATGCTGATGTTGATAGCTGCCCTGGGTGTTGCCGGACAGAGCTTTCTCACAAAGGCCCTGCAGAACGAGAAGGCTGGAGCTGTGTCCCTGGTGAGGACTGGGGACGTGGTGCTGGCGTTCCTCTTTCAGTATATTTTCTTTAACCATGCACCAACCTTGTGGAGCCTCGGAGGGGCTCTGTGCATAGTGGTGAGCACCAGCGGAGTAGCACTTAGGAAATGGCATGGCAGCTCTTGCAAGAGCCGCAACATAGAGAAATAAATATTACTATTTATTATTTTTTCATTATTATATGTAATTGATTTATTTAGTATTTTACTTGTTTGTTTTTTATACATGCAAACCTGCATGTTAGTTTAAGCTCTTCTGAGAGCTAATCTAGAAGGATAATCAGCTAAGGCTCAGTAATGAGCTTGTGATAATTCCAAACTGAATTCTCTACATCCATATATGTTGATTTCTACCCTAAACTGTATCCTGCTCCCCGGAGCCTCTGTAACTAACTAGCTAACTAACTGCTTAATCAGTAGAGAAGTGTGTATATCAAAATGCCACTGAAAGGTGAACTTTACCACAGCAAAGCAGTTTGATGAAAGATATCCTCAGTACCATTTTCCTTTCTGAATGAAATACTGTAGCCAAAGAGAGAAGTTTACTGAACCAGGACCTTTAATACCGTGTCACATAACTTCACACAAATTATTGTGGCACAGTATGCACTAGACACTATCAAATACATATCTACAAAAATATGTCATATACTGTATCTGTGGTGCTGACGATACAACTATGCTCACTCTGTCATCCAAAAAATGTTAATTATAAAGACATTGCAAATACTTGAGTCAATGAAAAGAGACATAGGTGGCGATATACAATCACAAAATTGCGTAACAAAGTTGATACTTAAAAACAGGGTCATGCTGTAGAATCTCAGGTATTTCAATTACACCTAAAACCAACCTGATGAACTCATCCATTAAAAATTCATTCCATTGTGATATATACATTTTTATTAGATTTTTCTTGTTAACCTAGTCTTTTCTAATTAAATATAATTATCAAATATTTATTATGGTTCAATCCACGGTTAATAGTTTTTTAACAGTTTCTATTTGAAGTGCCTTAAGAAGGGACCTTAACCTCCACCATCCCTCAGTGGAGCTTCCCAGTAACCAGCAGCTTCTACTGGGAAGCTTTCAGGTGTGACTGTGCATATGAATATAAATAGGAAGTAGTCAAATAATGATCTTTAAAATGTTCGTATAAAAAAATCAAAGCTGCTGTCTAACAGCAAGAAGCATCTAAAACAACCCTTATACCTATGAGTGCTAGCCACGTTGTGTACATATCTGACTGCTGTGCACTTACCTGACTGCCAGCTACGTTGTGCACTTCTCTGACTGGCCGCTCTCTTGCCTACTCACCTGCCCATCCTGGTCCTCTGATCCTCCTGGTTCATGCCTATTCACCTGTCTGTCCTGGTCCTTTCAGCCTCCACTGCTCAACCCTGGTTGGACCACATCAACCCCACTGACTTTGTCTTCCTCCATCTGCTTATTTTCTGTAATAAAGGCTCTTTTTACCATCACTTTGAGTTTGCACCCTGAGTCTTCATTTTCTCTATCTACACTAACCCTACCAGTTTCCTCTCTCTACCCGCTCACACCAGAGATTTTTGTGAGTTGGCAATAAACACATCGTATTCAACTGGTCATGCCAGCAAAGCTCAGTTTTTACAATAAAAAGTTGAAATGAACCCTTCTGATTTGAATATGCATTATTGTAGGTTTACTGTATATGTGCACATATACAGACTGAAATATCTAGACTGAATAATTTTCCTGAAATTCTTTCCCTCTGCCATCAGACTCCCAAACAGTCACTGTTGTTATTGCACATGCTGCTCCCATGTAGCATACATTCTCTTATTATATTCTTATATATTTTTATATACAGACTGAAATATCTAGACTGAATAATTTTCCTGAAATTCTTTCCCTCTGCCATCAGACTCCCAAACAGGTGACAGGAGTTCCAGGAGAGTTACCAGGAAATACGTCATGTAATTCCGCCTGTACTGTTTACATACTCAGTTTGCACATGCATAATTGCACAGTCACTATTGTTATTGCACATGCTGCTCCCATGTAGCATATATTCTCTTATTATATTCTTATATATTTTTATTATATCTCTTCATTTGCTGCTTTAAAGTGCCTCAGATTTTGTGTTATTTATTTATCTACTTTGACAGAAAAATAATCAAGCACATCATTATGACTGAGGTCCACCTCCGTGAGATTAGAGGAGGGTGAGCTGAGGACTGAGGATACCAAATGTTTACAGGATTCCTCAGAAAGTTCACACCAAATCAAGCTGTCAAAATGGTGGTAAAATTTAGAAACATTTACCACAAATAGTGGGTGGTGCAAGCTTTTGTATATTTAACTTTTACAGTATACTCTATAGGGGCAGCACGGTGGCACAGTGGTTCATACATAGCTGAATGTGAGTATGTAAGAACTAACACACCTCCAGCAGGACATCAAGGCAAACAGCCCTTTAATTCTACCATCCTGTTGGCTGGAAAACCACTTATGCCTTGTAAACATCACAAAATCTGATTACAGTTGCTCATGCTTCATGTTGTAGCCTTCTTTGGCCCAATTAGTCAAACACATGCAGACATGCCTGAAGCTCAAATGAAACCTTTCTGGGGGCATCATTTAGGTTACCCGGGTGGGACTTAGTATAAACATTGTTCCTCTGCAGTTTAAGCAAGACAAATAATCACATGATCATGTTTGCAAAATTAATCACTCTTAAAGTACTTACAAAGTTGTTCTGGAGACTTTGACTGCCTGCGACATTTCCAGAAGAACCTTCTTTGATTTCAGGCACTTTTTAAGGTGTCTCAGGGGCATCTTTGCACAGCCTGCACCTGGGGTCCTGTCTGGTATGATAGGTCGGGGGTTCGAACCATGGTCAGGGCATGGTCAATATCCTGCCTGGGTCCTTAGGCAAGACCCTTAATACTATCTGCCTACCTCATCCGTAATGAGCGTTGGAAAAATAATGGAAAAATAAGAGTCACACCGGCTCGGATGTCGCCCGGGTCAACAAGGTCCGCGTCAGGTGTTGAGGGACCGGGGCAACCTGATGTGATGTGGGCTACTGGGACAAGACATTCATGGACAAGAGAGGAGATATATATATATATATACAGTGGTGTGAAAAAGTGTTTGCCCCCTTACTGATTTCTTATCTTTTTGCATGTTTGTCACACTGTAATGTTTCAGATCGTCAAACAAATTTATATATTAGTCAAAGATAACACAAGTAAACACATCATGCAGTTTTTAAATGAAGGTTTTTATTATTAAGGGAAAACAAAATCCAAAACTATAGAGCCCTGTGTGAACAAGTGTTTGCCCCCCTGTCAAAACACTGGTTTATCGCCCCTGAGTTCAATTTCTCTAGCCACACCCAGGCCTGATTACTGCCACACCTGTTCGCAATCAAGAAATCACTTAAATAGGACCTGCCTGACAAAGTGAAGTAGACCAAAAGATCCTCAAAAGCTAGACATCATGCCGAGATCCAAAGAAATTCAAAAACAAATGAGAAAGAGAATAATGGAGCTCTATCAGTCCGGAAAAGGTTATAAAGCCATTTCTAAAGCTTTGGGACTGCAGCGAACCACAGTGAGAGCCATTATCCACAAATGGCGAAAACATGGAACAGTGGAGAACCTTCCCAGGAGTGGCCAGCCGACCAAAATTACCCCAAGAGCGCAGCGACAACTCATCCAAGAGGTCACAAAAGACCCCACAACAACATCCAAAGAACTGCAGGCCTCACTTGCCTCAGTTAAGGTGAGTATTCATGACTCCACCATAAGAAAGAGACTGGGCAAAAATGGTTTGCATGGCAGAGTTCCAAGACGAAAACCACTGCTGAGCAAAAAGAACATAAAGGCTCGTCTCAGTTTTGCCAGAAAACATCTTGATGATCCCCAAGACTTTTGGGATAATACTCTGTGGACAGACGAGACAAAAGTTGAACTTTTTGGAAGGTGTGTGTCCCATTATGTGTGGCGTAAAAGTAACACCGCATTTCAGAAAAAGAACATCATACCAACAGTAAAATATGGTGGTGGTAGTGTGATGGTCTGGGGCTGTTTTGCTGCTTCAGGCCCTGGAAGACTTGCTGTGATAAATGGAACCATGAATTCTGCTGTGTACCAAAATATCCTGAAGGAGAATGTCCGGCCATCCGTTTGTGACCTCAAGCTGAAGCGAACTTGGGTTCTGCAGCAGGACAATGATCCAAAGCACACCAGCAAGTCCACTTCTGAATGGCTGAAGAAAAACAAAATGAAGACTTTGGAGTGGCCTAGTCAAAGTCCTGACCTGAATCCAATTGAGATGCTGTGGCATGACCTTAAAAAGGCAGTTCATGCCCGAAAACCCTCCAATGTGGCTGACTTACAACAATTCTGCAAAGATGAGTGGGCCAAAATTCCTCCACAGCGCTGTAAAAGACTCATGGCAAGTTATCGAAAACGCTTGATTGCAGTTGTTGCTGCTAAGGGTGGCCCAACCAGTTATTAGGTTTAGGGGGCAAACACTTATTCACACAGGGCTTTGTAGTTTGATATATATATATATATATATATATATATATTTATTTGTTTCCTTCTCAATGGCCAACTGAAAACAGGTTTTTGGAATATTTTATTAATGTATTAAAAATAAAAGACTGAAATATACCATTTATACAAGTTTTCAAACCCTTTGTGACACTTGTAATAGAAGTCTAGTGCATCCGACTCCTATCAATAGTTGCTGAGATGCTTCTACAGATTATTTAAGGTCCGCCAACTAAATTTACTGGATATATTTAGGTCTCAAAGTTGATAGTGTGTGTCAGAGTAAAAACAAAGTCATGAGGTTGAGAGAATTGTACATAGACCTGTGAGACAGGATTGTGTCAAGACACAGATGTGGTGGAGGAGACAAAAACATCTCTGCAGCATTGAAAGGGCCCAAGAGCACGGGAGCCTCCATTATTCTCAACTGGCTGAGATGTGGAACCACTGACAGTCTTCATAGATCTGATTGCCAGACTGAGGATGACTGTCAGGGATGAAGGACTTTGGTCAGACAGGTGACCAAGAACCCACAGGTCCCTATGAATGATCCAGAGCTCCTTTCTGTGGATGGGAGAACCTTATAGAAGGACAACCATCAGATCAGCACTCCATCAGTCAGGCTTCTATGGTAAAGTGGCCAGATGGAATCCAGTCCTCACTAAAAGGCTCAACAGCCTGCTGGGAGTTTGCCAAAAGGCATCTGAAGGACTCTGACCATGAGAAGCAAAATCCTCTGCAGGTGAATGGCATGATAACTGATTACGGTGGCAGAACAGCAGGGAGAGACAGGGTAAACGCAAACGCAAACACAAATGCCAGAAGCCAAGCTGAATTGTAATAGGTTGACCTTGAACATTTCTGCCATGAAGAATGGAAGAAACATCCAGAAGAAAGGTGCTGAGCTTGCTGCTTCATTCTCATGAAGACTTGAGGCTGTTGTTACTGCCAAAGGTGCTTTAACCAAGTGAAGGGTCTGAAAACTTGCCATAGCCACTGTACATATACAGGTGCAGCTCAATAAATTAGAATATCGTGGAAAAGTCCAGTTATTT